CATTCGACAGCGTCGATCGAGAGGCAACTACTTCGCTACTACGGTGTGCCACCGACAATTATACATCTCATCCAACAGCTGTACGACAATGCTGCATGCAAAGTAATCCACAACGGGAAACTTACAGAATCCTTCGAAGTGAGGACAGGAGTAAGACAAAGCTGGCTGCCTACTATCGCCAATGATTTTCCTGATTGCAGTAGACTGGATAATGCGACAGACAGCTGGCATGCAGCGAGGAAACGGGCATAAAATGGACTCACACAGAAAACTTGGAGGATCTGGACTTCGCCGATGATATATGTCTGATTTCCCACAAACTGGAAGATATGCAAGCGAAAAGCAACAAGTTGGCAGAAGAAGCATCGAAGATAGGACTTCAGGTGAACATAGAGAAAACAGAGGTGATGAAGATTCCTGGGCAACACCATCAGCAAAAATGGGAGGAACCTCTTTTACCTACCTGGGAAGCATCGTTTCAACTACAGGCGGAACTGACGAGGATATCAAAGCAAGAATCAGGAAAGTAAGACAAGCTTTCACTACTCTCAAGTCAGTGTGGAGGTCAACAGCACTCAGCATCAAAAATAAGATCCGGATTTTCAACTCCAATATGAAGTCAGTGCTACTATACGGATCAGAGACTTGCACCTCAAGTCATAAAGAGCATCTCAAACAAACTACAGACCTTCATTAACAGTTGTCTTCGCTCAATACTCAAGATCAGATGGCCAGAAAAGATGAACAATCGTGAAGGATCTCTGGGAGCGAACCTATCAGGAACCGATTGTGAAACAAATAGGCAGGAAGAAATGGAGATGGATTGGCTGGCCATACTCTGAGGAAACCATCAAGTGACATCACTAGACAAGCCACTGCTCGAGTGGAACCCGAAAGGGAAGCGGCGAGTTGGTTGTCCAAGGGTGACTTGAAGGAGGTCATGTGAAGAGGAGATGAAAACGTGTGGGCAGACATGGAGCCAGGTGAAGATTCTAACAGAGAACCGAACGCAATGGAGACGCACGGCTGAAGCCCTATGTTCCTGTAGGAATTAAAGGAAACAATAATAATAATAAGGCGCCTTTGTCAGCTGTTCGCCACTGCTTGAAATTTCAGTTTGTCTGTGTATGGTTTCGAGTTGCTAGTCAGTGTTACCCTCCATTGCTATATCCAACACGGCTATTTTGGAACAGTATGTATATCACACTCAAGCTTGCCATGTACAACGTCTGCACACCGGAAGAAACAGGCAAGACTAGTCAAGACCCTGAAATGCTTCCCTATTCCGTATACAGGGTCGCAGTAATGTGATAATAAGTAATAAACAACCCGCTAAGAAAAGCGTTCTTTTCATCCTCTTTGCCTACGCACTGACGGATGCAATTAAGGACAAGTTGTAATATCAGCTGAGTGGACTTCTGAAGCACATGTACTTAACAGTTATTGTAGTACTAGCTGGGGCCTTGAGTGGCGCAGAGGTCGTCAGTGAGAACTGGATGATCTCAAGTCAGATAATGGGGATTGTTTTCTGAAACTACGAGATCACAGCTAGACAAAATCCATCACCGTAGTGTTAACTGACGTCCTCTCTCTGCCACTTAAGTCTGGATTTGAACAGATCATATCGCAACCAGTTACAGATGACGTGGGTGCATAGAGGACTTCTGTACCCTATGTAATATTTGTCTGAAATCTGATCATGCTTTACCGTGTGCCAGGTTTATCTTGCGATTTGGTGATGATCAGGGAAATCACAGTCAATATGTTGATGTACGTTAACTGGTGGCACCTGCTACCTCCACGGAGTATGCAACTGAGCTAGACTCGAAGCTAGCTACTAACCCCCGAAACAGCATAGACGAACTCTGGCTGCACTTACAAGACATCATTAAAGTGACAAGTGAAGCTGATTGGGGCTAAAGAAACCACATTTCTGTGATTTCCTTGACATCCGTCGGTCCATTATGACAGATAGTAGGGTAAGGTTCTTACTCGTAAGATCAGACAGTGCTTACATAAGGACTGCGAAGCCTGGTGGTTAAAATGTACACGTGAGATAGGATCAGAAGCTGCACCGGTTAATATTCAGAAGTTAGTCTTGACCATCCGATAGCAATGGTGTCCGCGAAACAGTTTGCAGGGCAGATAGCACACCGATTAACAGCCTAAAGAGACACTCAGAATGGTGGGCAGAGAATCAGCTGGCCCTCAGAGCCCAATGGCTGGTGAAAACAAAGCGGAGATCCGAAAGGAACTACAGGTACTCGAGCACCACAGCTTACATCCACTCTTTGTGATTTATAATATCCAATAAAATTCTATTGCTCTTCCATATTACTATTCGTCTTGCTTCACTTACATTTCTGTTTATTATCTCTCTTCTCTTGCTTTGTGTTGTAAATGGAGGGAAACTTACAAGTCGAACTGCTGCACACATGTGCAAAGTTCTGTGTTGAAACCAGTCAGTCAGGCGACTTGCCCGCCGCCCCTTTAAATATACGTATACGCCACCAAAGCACATATCTAAGAATGAGGACGACTATTCACTAAGGGTTTTCAGTAAGAAACTTTTGTTCTCCAAACTTGATATCGTACCCTGAACCCCTTTATAACCAAGTTTGGTGACATCTTTGCCAATAAATTCGCGATGGCTTTACCTAAAATCTTTTACTTCGAAAAGACCTCCAACATACTTGTACACATGCCACTGGACGTCAGAATTACCTAAATAATGTTAGTATTTATCACTCCAGTTCCTGATAAAAGACCCGAAACTTTATCTACCAACACCTTTGTAAGCGTAAACAACCTTTAGATTCTCAGAGGATGTAAGTATATGCAATATGCATCTTGATGGGTCACGTCTAGTACGAAATAACTATTTGAAGCTTTAGTACCCTACATAGAGGAACAATGCAAACAATATTGTTTGTATAACTTTGATGAAATTATTTGTTTCCCGAGCACCAGACTTATGTCATTACGCACCTCTCTGACAGCTGCTACGAATTTTATTGATAAGGAAGTTAACTCTAGGAAAATTCAGGTTGTTTACACTCCGTTTCCCTTCCTGATGTAGATCCACATGAATTCACCTCACGTGCTTCTCAGGAATAAATCCACTTAAACAAGTTATTTCAAATAGTTATTCAACGAATAAAAGGCCATGGTTGGATCAAGAATTCGAGTTAGCTGATGTATCTACAACCCAGATTACACGAGTACTGCTACTAGCGTATAAGTTTCGGAGGCAACTTGCAACCAATAATTTCGTCACTACTGGAAACAAACTAGTGTCCCGACGACCATTCAAAACACTACGTAAACTATTCTTAAACTTGGTTACAATGATGACCTTATCCCAGAATTTTTTGCTTGGATTCCCAGATCCCACAATAGCTGTCATACTTCAAACAATTCAGTTTGAGAAATGATGAATTCCACTTTGGACTTCAAGGTGAAAAGAATTTTTTATGATCCAACAGTGTTTGGAAATTTTCTGAACCTGTCCTTTTTTCTAGTATGTCAACCCTAAGTGAACACAGAGAAAAATGTATTATAATACAGAAAACAACTTCTTCTCGAATTGCACTAGATAAGCGTGAAAGTTTTGTATAGACATATTATTATTCGCATAATAGACCAATTCAGTGACATGAGCACCTCTTCAACCTACTAAGTTCGTATAAAAAGTGTGTGAGGATGAAACTTCCGAGTAAAATCAGAAATCGGCTTCCGAAGAAACCCCTCATGCCTGTCAAATCTTCTCACTGCAAGAGAAAGCTGGGTCAAATCAAGGGACAACAGAAGACCTGTCGACGTCGTCTTCATAGACTTCAGCAAAGCCTTTGATCAAATACCTCACAAAAGACTACTCATGAAGTTGAAAAGTCTTGGTTTCAAAGGCAGATTACTAAACTGACTCAGGGAATTCCTCATAGATAGGAGGCAGAGGATTAGGATCAACTCGAAACTCTCCTCTTGGACAGTAGTACGTAGCGGAGTGCCAACTGGCACGGTACTCGGACCTCTCCAATTTATTATGTATATCAATGAGTTATCTCTACTCACAGACTCCCCTATGGTCCTATACGCAGATGACTTAAAAATTTGAAGAGAGCTGAAGGGCAACAGTGATACGTCTACGTTGCAAGAGGACCTCAACAAATTGTCAGAGTGGTCCAGAGAATGGATGCTTCCGATCAATGTGGTAAAATGTGCAACAATGCGCATCGGACAAGCAAGCACCAGCTCCTATGAACTAGGGGGAATAACACTTCCGTCAGTTCAGACTCACTTGGACTTAGGTGTCATAGTTAGCCACGATTTAAAAACCACAGCACACTGCAGCACGGTGGCTACACGTAGTCTCAGGTCCTTATGGGCAATTCGCAGAGCCATTACTAGAATCACCGGAGATATTTTCACCTCCTTATATACATCTCTAGTGAGGTCAAGACTAGAAAACTGTATCCAGGCAGCCAGTACTTGTCTTGAGAGGGACTCATACATTCTAGAAAGGGTCCAAAGGAAGGCAACACTTACAGTTCTCGGAATGACTAATTTATCATACGAGGAAAGACTAAACAGTTTAAATCTCTTCTCCCTGTCATACAGTAGGCAGAGAGGAGATTTAATCACAATGCTTAAAATTTTAAATAATGAATATGGACCTGATCTATTCTCTCTTTTCCTTCCCACCAGGTTGGAACACCTTGGAGGACATAGCAGGAGAGTTCAAAAGCCAAGAAGAAATTATACTGCTGTTGAGTACTGCCTCTCACACCGAGTTATAAATTCTTGGAACCGACTGCCAGAAGAGGTGGTGTCTGCGACCTCAACTGATTCATTCAAGAAGGGTTTACACAACCACAGAAATTTTTTAGAAAAGGACTAACATAGGCTCCAAGCCTTCTATCCTCCACCAATAAATCTAAATCTAAAGTTCACAGAAATACTTGTGAAACATCCACATACCACACACTGACATAACGTAATCATAGAGATTGAAGTCCGCTTGATTTTTATTTTATTAAATATAAGCGGTTTCCAAAATAAGTAAGAAAAAGTACAAATAATTTACAGCCTTATACATGTACAATAAAAATAACAACACAACTAAAAATAAATTTAGAATGACTTGTTTTTAGTGATAATAGCTCCAAGTGCTATCAAGAGGATTGTCAACAACGCTACCGTTTCGAGGTACACAACTGGCTTGTAAGATATACCCTATTAGGTGAAAATAATTTAAAGTAAGTTGACCTACTTTATGTCGTACGTTAACTGTGAAGACTGGTTGTACGTCAGGAGTTACACCACCCTTCATTGAACGCAAGAAGGCTGTCACGCCTTTATCATTATAAAAACGGACTATGTAATCTCCTTTCGGGATACTTTTATGGTTGAAAACAAATGTCACCTAATAGATAGTAGCAAATGATAAAGACCAGAATTAGAGTGTAGTACTTGGAAATTATCTGTTTCAATATGACGACTAACTGGTTGGAAAACTCCATTTAGTTCAGCGAAAAGGTCTGGAGACTTTAAACAATTAACAAGGAATAGACAAACTTACTCCCTTCCCTTTACATTTAGCTTCACCTTCAACCAAAATAACGGTTTCAGTGGACAACACTGCTTCACTTGCTGAGTACGAGACTGCTCTAACATCAAATTCATCGCAAGAGGCAGCTTAACATTTAAGTTGTTTAAGAAAATGATTATACATACCCAACTTGAAAGTCAAGGTAAGAAAAGTAATCAAAAACCAAATCATCGCCGCGTCAGCCGTATACGTGTGGATGACCTTGAACACTTTTCAAATAGTTACACAATGTCTAAGTTCAATTTCAATACGCCTGAGTAGTGATTTTGATGTTGAATATGTCTTACATATGAAGCGCTGGAAACCATTCTTTATGTTTAAAAAATATCATGAAATTTCGCTCGGGAAAGTCAAAGAAAGGTAGTACAGGGAATGGAGCCGCTGATAACTTTGAAAAAACTAGTCGCTTCCACAGTGCAAGTTCGGGCCCTTTCCTGAGTCTAGTCCTAAACATAATCTTTCTCCAGGCTCACCTTAACCCAACATTCCTAATCTTCCCGTAACTTGATCTCGATCTATCCAGCCCTCACTAAGCAGTTATCACTTTTCTAACTTGTACTGTTTTCGCTCCTCTTTATAATTATTCTTCAGTTTGTTGCCTTCTTCGATTGCGAGAATCAGAAGAACAGATACTGGTGAGAATTTCCATTCATCGGCACGTTTTTCCTACAATGAGGGTGGAAGACCCTAGTACAAACACCAACTTCACCACAGGGATCAGCCACAGTTTTTTGAGTACAGAATTTCACAGTTTACAGATTCTAGTTCATGAAGTGTTGGAACCTATCTTAGTCTGTAGTGTGACCTGAACCAAAATATAATTAGGTATTAAAAGCACTGTTAAGTGATAAAATAATCAAGTGTCAAATAATCTCCAAATACTCAAGTAAAGTCCAGTCCAGTTCCCTTATTTTTCTCCATACCGTGATAGTAGTTATCGTTAAGACATTTCGTAGGAATTCTGGTCTGCTCATTCTGTATTGAGGATTAACGTTTAAACCTAAACTCGGACCACGGGGAATTTTTCCAATTCATCCTTTCTTTTTAAAGAAATTCGAAAACTGTACAGGATCCCTACAAGTGTGGGAAAGAAGCATGAAGATGTTCTGAGTTTATTTTATTTGAACTGCGCAACTGTAGTCTCCATGGCGGAAAGTTTAAGAAGGCCATAGTAAGTGACTTCTCTGTGGGTTTGTGATACTGTTTCACCTATCTCCCTAGCTAAGCAGATAAATCGGTCAGGAAAGGCAAATGATTTGCTTGCATAAGTGGCATAAGATCTCGGAAATTACTGCATCTCTAAGCCTCACAGTAAATTTAATAAACTCTGACGCCACTTTTTAACGAAGGTTCATGACTAGGGAATATCAAGGGGTGTAAAAATTAATACAGTAATCATTATTTCTTTTATGTGTTTTTTAATTTTTCCTGTCCTTTTTGAAACCTGTTGAATGAGTGGTTCCTAGACTAGCTTGTCGAAAAAAGTACTTTACAGAAAAGGGGATTCGTGGAGCCACACTTCAACATACTAAGGAATGTAGGCGAACGCTTGTGTTTTTAAGCAGAGTTTTTTCGTTCAAGTTACTTGTAATTATTTGAATTCTGTAAAAAATGGCCACAGTGTATTTTTCGACACAAATATCGAGAGGAAGCTAATTTAAATCATGCCAATAGAATCCAAAGGTTTGAAAATGTTAGCTGGATTTTGTCCCAAGAAGGTGTTGATTTCCTAGTAACCAAGAAGTTTCAAATCACTAGCATCATGAGCCACGCTTAGACTGGTCGTGATCCTGATGGCTACCACCAGTGCCACTGACGAAGTAGTGCTCATTTCCGGTAGAAGTAAGATTGCAAAAGCGCTCGCTGATAGGATTATTTTAGAGGACGAGACATGTATTGAAACATCCAAAGCAAGGATGTGGAGTATTTCTGGGAAGATGAGGCGGTAGGGAGTACATTTTGTCATGACTAGTTCATCTAAAGGGCTCTAATAACGTACGGAAACTTTTACTTGGGACATGAAGTAGTATTTTGTCCTTAGGAGATTCAGATATTGAAAAAAGGCATTGAAATAAATAGGTAAGTATGAAGCAACGACAGGTGGCATTGCAATGTCTGATTCCATATGAAAGATAATGATGTGAAATACAAATGGGTGAGGGAACACATTATGACATACAGACGAAATTAGACTGATTTAGCTAGATACCCAGTAACTGCTTCCTGTTTGTGCAAAATGTATCACTCTGGGGGGAGAGTATAAGGACTGGGGAATGGAAAGGAGAAAATGTCTACCAGCTCGCTCACAACAAGCTGCAGTGGAGGGGATCAAATAGCAGAGAGAATTAGACTGGTTGCGCAGGGTCGGGTTTCATGGTTACCCAGTCTCACCTCAGCAGCAAGTGGTTTGTCCGGTCATCGTATCCTATGGACTGGCCTGCGAAATAGAGCTATATTTAGATAGAGTCAGGGGCATTTAACAATTGTCTCCTCAAAAAGTGGGGAAAGTATTACAACAAGATTAGTATATTCGGGCAAAAGTAGATAAAAGCATTCGCAGTAACTAACTTTGTGTCTTTTGATATGAAGCCGTCATTATTTACAGTTTACAGTTTACAATTTATTTAGGATAGTAGGCTATATGCCTGTGTTAATCCTTTCGATTCGTTGCTCACTGGAGGTCCAATCTCGCCTTGAATGAATCAATGGATGGCGCTGATACGACATGTTCCGATGCGAAAAACGGATTTCCAGACGCAGACGATTCGACCTTGGTTTTTGAACCTTGAGGTGATGTCTTCGCAATTGGTTGGTGTTAGAAGGAAGAAATAAGTTAGATAAATTTGCTCCAAAATCATTTCTTAGGATACGGTATGCTAGTATTAGGTCACCCCTAAGTCGTCTGTATGACAGTGGAAATAAACCCAGTCGACTTAACCTCTCCTCATATGAGAGGATTGAGAAACCCTTTATTAGCTTAGTTCCTACTCTTTGCACCCTTTCTAATAAGTCTATTCCGTATTTGAAACACGGGCTCGCTGCCTGGATCCCATATTCCAAATGAGGTCTGATATAAGTCGGATATAATATACGAAATATATCAGCGTCAAAATTCGCAAAAGCCTTGCGTATGGCCCATAATATTCGGAAACCCTTAGTGGCTGCAGCTCTACAGTTTGTTGCTGTTTTCAAGTCATGCTGCACAACCATTCCCAAGTCCTTGTACTCATTGACCGCTGGGAGAGTAATGCCATTCATTGAGTAATTGTGCACGTGACTATGAGATACATGCATAACTACACTCTTGCTTAAGTTAATCTCCAAGGCCCAGTGCTTACACCAATCACTTAACAAGTTCAAATCTTCCTGCAAAGCAAGTTGATCACTGTCATCGTGTAAAGCCCTCCATATCTTGATGTCATCAGCAAACAGTAAGCAGGATGACTTAACTACCGATGGAATCTCATTAACATAAGTCAGGAAAAGAAGTGGGCCTAGAATTTTACCCTGAGGAACGCCACTCTTAACCGATTCCCATGTTGATAAAACCCCGTTAACTCGTACTCTTTGTCTTCTGTCCTTTAGAAAGTCTTGAATCCAGTCAGCAACCACTTTATTGATTCCCAGACTACCTAACTTTACTAGAAGACCTGAATGAGAAACCCTGTCAAACGCCTTGCTAAGGTCGATGAAGATGGCATCCACCGGTATATTAGCATCAGCTGAGCTTGCCCAACTTTCTCTGGCCAAAAGAAGGTTGGTCAAGCAAGATTGACCTGCTCTAAAACCATGCTGTTCCACAGCGAAAAGTTTGTTCCCTTCAATGAACTGAATGATGGAATCACAAATTATTCTTTCTAGTAGTTTAACAACAATACTGGTCAAACTAACGGGACGATAGTTCTGAACTAAATTTCTAGATCCAGTTTTGAAGACCGGACTAATGATGGCATCTTTCCAGTCTCTTGGACATTTAGACTGGTCCAGAGACATATTGAAGATTACCGACAATGGCTCGGCTATGTTTTCAGCCAATGCTGTCAACATACGTGGGTGGAGTTCATCAGGGCCACTGGACTTACCAGGATTGAGCCTTAGAAGCCACTTTAGGACAGTATCCTTTCCAATGTATAAGGGTGCCATTTTCAAGTTACCTTCTGGAAAAGTTACAAAGCTGGTATCAATATTATCAGAGAATACTTGACTAAAGTGCTTGGATAAAGCCTCAGCCTTAGTCAAGTTATCCTCAGCCATGTTTGTCTGGTCATCTTCAAGCATAAGAGGTGGGATAGCATCTCTCTTACGTGTTCTTCTCTTGATATATGAGAAGAGTCCTCTTGGGCAGCTTGGTGAACTTTTAACTAACTGGGTTTCGTAAGCTATCCTTGACTGGTGAATCAAGGTTTTACACTGGTTCCTGGTTTCACAGTATTTCAGCCGGAACTGCTGTAGCCCAGTAGAAACAAAGAGATTCCAGAACCTTTTCCTCCGTCTTGTGAGTGTTATAGCTTGTCTATTTATCCATGGTGGCCGGTTTGTTGGTCTTTTAGGAACCCTCCAGGGAATGAAATCAGTGGTAACCCTCTCAAGTGTATTCTTAAATCTGTACCATTCATCTTCAATAGATGAGACAATATTGACTGACCAGTCGGCAGTTGAAGCACGCTCCTTTATAGCGACTATATCAGCATGCCAAACACTAGGTCGGGATTTGGGTTGAAAACTGGCTAAATTGCCAGCCCTTAAGTTAAAATCTAACACCCTATGATCACTGTTTGCTAGAGATGGATTAATAACTAGACCATCCACGTCGTCGTTGTCATGAGTAAGCACTAAGTCCAGCAAGGAAGATCCTTGGGTAGAACCGAATCTTGTACTACCTAAGACATGTTGTGTCAGGGCATTTTCCATGGTATTCAAGAGTAACTTATTAGTGGATCCTGGAGATGTGACAGTTACCCAGTCTAAATGAGGTGCATTAAAGTCACCTAGAATAAGACAGCTACTGTATTTACTCCATTGTTTCAGGTGATCTAAGATAGTCATCACACTGACAATAGGGACTTCTATACAGAACTCCGATGAGTAGAGTGCCAGTTGCAAAGCTTACTTCACAGCTAATAGCCTCACTTGTCCCACTGTCACGCGCTTCAGATTTCGCGGAACGAACATGTAGGGAGTTGTTGATGTACAGAGAAATCCCGCCACATCTACGACTCTTAACCCTGTCGCTGCGCAAACAACTAAATCCACATAGCTCAGGTGAGTCATCTAATCCAGAAACCAGCCATGTTTCA